GCTAAAGCTGCTAATCTTGCTATCAAATTACAATGCTAATCTGGCTAACATAAAAATTATGGTTATCTTAATTATTTTATTTTACTAACATGATAGTAATTCTATTTTGCTAACAAATTACTAAAGTTGCTAACATAACCGTAATGGTAATCCTCTTAATGCAACAGTCAAGCTAACCTAACATAATGCTAATCAAGTTAACCTAACATTAATGCTAATATTGCTAATGTAACAGTAGCACAAATCTAGCTTGCATAACAAAAATGCTAATCTTTCTAATTTAACAGTAATACAAATCTAGCTAAGCCAATAGTAATGCTAATCTTGCTAATGTAACAATAATACAAATCTTGCTAGCATTACAATAGTGCTATTCTTGCTAAAATAGTAGTAATACAAATCAGCTAACAAAGGTATTGCTAATCTTGCTAATCTAACAGTAATACAAATCAGCTAACATAACAGTAATGCTAATCTCACTAACATAACCCTAGTCTATCTAACAAATACCTAATATTAATTTTGCTAACGTAACAGTAATGCTAATCTTGGCAGAATTTAATGGATATCGTTAGCCTACGTTGAAATTCTATGTCTAGCGTTCCGTGGATGCTAACTTTATTAGCATATATCTGATGCTGCTCTTATGATGATGAACATAATGATTTTGCTGGCACATTACTTATGATGTTATTATTATTGTTAGCATTATTTTAATTGTTAACATTGTACAAATGAGAATGTTTTGATATAAATCAGCTTAAAAATAAATATATCAAATTTTGTTAGCATGCAACTAAAACATGTCGTTAAAGTGGGGGTTTTATGTATTTTCCTGGCACACAGTTTGGTTCTGTTACTTTCAGTTGTTATGAAAACGCTGCATAAATCAATGAGTAAAATTTATGTATAAAACAATATGATTTATTTATTACATGATTTAGTTTTATGATCACAGCCTTGTTGTTCTTGAGCTTCCATCGCTGACKGTTTGTTTCCTCAGGACGAGCCGTACGTCATGACCAAGGACTCCAAGCAGGAGGGCTACTGCATCGACCTGATCTCGGCGCTCTCCAAGAAGCTGGGCTTCAGGTACAAGGTGCACGTGGTGAAGGACGGCCGATACGGCGCCATGGACGCCAGCGGCAACTGGAACGGTATGATCGGCGAGGTCATCAGAGGGGTGAGTCGCAAACGATGAAATGTACGCTTCGAGGCGTTTGTCCTTTCGTCTGCCTCCCCGACGAGTCGTTTCCGTACCTCCCGACAGGAAGCGGACCTGGCCGTGGCCCCGCTCACCATCACCGCCCTCAGGGAGCAGGTGGTGGACATGACCACGCCCTTCATCCAGACCGGCCTCAGCTTCGTGCTGCGTAAAAGCGCCGTCTCTGAGGAGAGCAGCTTCAGCGTCCTGTCGCCGTTCTCCACCGACGTGTGGATCGGCGTGCTCATCGCGTTCCTGCTGACCGGGCTCTGCATCTTCCTGGTGGGCAGGTGAGTGACCCCGCAGGTGTTCTGCTTGGTCGTCAACCTTTTCGTCTTTTTTAAATTTTTTCTTCCCCCCCTGCAGGATCAGCCCGACTGAATGGTCCGAACCAGAGAAGGACGAGCACAACTTCACGTTGCTGCACAGCTTCTGGTACATCACCGGAGCTCTCACCCTGCAAGGTATCACACCTGCGGACAGGTGTGCTGCACGCAACAATCTCTGATTACTCTCAAAAATCAGAGGTTTTGCTGCTTAAAGCTCTAAAAATCTTTGTGAAGTTGTTGGATTMTAACATTAAAGTGCCCGTGACATCAATTTTTTGTGATAAATGTGAGTACACTTTTGGAAAGATAACATTAATAACATGTTGCAAAAGCAATTTCACACCACTGAGATGAACAGTTGTTGAGATATTCACATGTGAAGTAACAGGAAGTGATGTCAAAGGGGAATATGTGCATGTAAACAGATGCCTAACAATAGACAGCAGGGAATCTTCTGACATTTCTTAAGATTATTTTGAGTCCCTATAAGAGAGAGAAGAAGAGTCAGAGTTCACATATTGTGTCAATAAACAAAGACCAGAGTTCCCCTTTGATGTCACTTCCTGTTTCACTTTCTCTGAGCCAAGTTCAAAAGAAAATATACCATTTATGTGACAAAATGTGTTAAATTGAGTGTTTTATGTCATGTTTCCTAAATATGAAGATGTTTTCTTTGACATAAAACATGATTTTACTCATTATGTCACATAATTGGCTTATTTTCTTTTGAACTTGGCTCAGCTGAAGTGAAACAGGAAGTGACATCAAAGGGAAACTCTTTAAGAAAGAAAACTCCCTGTTTTTTGTTTAGGTAAACATTATTTGCACTATGACTCTGTCTCATCTCTCTATGACGKTGATTAAAATAATCTAAAGAAACATCAGATTCTTCTCTACAGTCTGTGCAGTTAGCCACTTTAGCATCGCTCTGTTCACATGACATCACTTCCTGTTGTTTCACAGGTAAATATCTCAACAGCTGTTCATGTCAGCGGCGTGAAATCTCTTTTACAATATGTAATCAGTGTTGTCCTTCCAAAAATACATTCTTTTTTATCACAAAAATTTGATGTCACAGACACTTTAAAAGTAAATATTTAGTTTTGCTGATTGTTGTTTTTAATAAAAAGCAGCTTTTTTGAACCCGGGTTCATCTGTAGGATAAAACTTGTCCCAGCAGGAACTGAATCTGAATTCCTCAGATTGAATCTGAATGTGCAGAATTTGAAATTGAAGCAATTCAGATTCAGTTCCTGTTGACACAAGTTTTATCCCAGACCCGTCTCCTGTCCCCCCCTCAGGTGCCGGTCCTCATCCTAAAGCTCTGTCCGGACGGGTCATCAGCGCCATCTGGTGGATRTTTGCGGTGCTGCTGCTCGCCTGCTACTTCTCCAGCTTCCACTCRGTGCTGCACTCGGAGCACAAACACATGTCCATCTCCAGCTTCGAGGACCTGGCCAACCAGGACGTGATCGACTACGGCACGGTCCAGTCCGGCTCCACCATGATGTTCTTCAAGGCACGAAGCTTCGGGCCCGGGTTCTGAGACCCGCTGGATGTGGAGGAGGCGGAGCTCTAAATGTTTCTTGTTTGTTTGTTTGTTCTCAGAACTCCGACAACCCCGTGTACCGGCGGCTCTACCAGCACATGGAGCGCAAGAAGAGCTTCGTGTCCTCCATGTCCGAGGGCGTCCGGCGGGTCCAGGAGGGGAACTTCGCCTTCATCGGTGAAGCCGTGTCCCTGGACCTGGTGGCGGCTCGTTACTGCGACCTGACCCGCGCCCCCGAGATCATCGCCATGAGATCCTACAGCATCGCTGCGCCGCTGGGTAAAACATCCTGCTGACACTTCCTGTCTGGAGAAACCAGTCGGCTGTTTCCTCACCTGCATRTAAACAAAGCTTCAACCAGAGAATCACATTTCCACCGCTGAAAGCTGCTGAAGCTCCTGCTGAGCTGAAATGGTTCAATAGCTAAACTTTTATTGCAAGTTCAAGTTGAACTGTTGACTTTTTTTTAAAGTAAATTAGCTGAAAGGAGCACATGAAAAGCTCAAAGTAGTAGAGACAAATGGGTTAGAAAACAACTGAAAATCATGAAAAAAAGCTGAAATTGACAAAAAAAGGTGAAATAAAAAAAGGCTGAAAGAAGCAAATAAAAAGCTGAAAGTAGTTGGAAGGATTTGAAAAATATCTGTGAAAAAAGAAAAAAAAAAGCTGAAATTAACAAAAAAAGGCCTGAAATTAGCACGAAGAAATAAAAAACAAGCAAAAATGACAGAAAAAGCTAAATATCCCAAAAAAGTATAAATTGCTTAAATACCAAAAGTTCTACTTTTCTTACTTTTTTCAGCTATTTTTAGCTTCTTTCTGCAATTTTCAGCTTTGATGTGAATTTTTTCAGCTTCTTATTGTTAATTTCAGCTTTTTATGCTCCTTTCAATTTCTTTGTTAATTTACCTTCAGCAAAATTTCAGCTGTTCAAATTGAACAAACATTAAAAGTTTAGCCATTAAACCTTTTCAGTTTGACTTGAGCATCTTCAGCTCATTTTAGCTGAAAAATGTAGCAAAACTTTGCAGTTTTTTTGTTGTAAAATAGACAAGAAATTAGCAGAAAAGTAGCTAAAACCTGAATCTAGCACAAAGGAAGAGAAGAGCACATTTTTGCTGATTTAAGCAATTGAAAAAAGTAGCTGAAATTATTACAAAAAGGTCAATTTAGCTGGAAAAAAGCTAATTATTTAGTGAAAATAGCTTTACATTAGCTTATGTTACAAATAGCAGCTGAAAGAAACAGAAAAATATTAAATTAGCAGAAAAACAATTGAAACAAAAACAAAAAAAAATTAGAATAGCTGAAACAAGCCGAAACATAGCTGGAAAAAAAAAAGCTAAAAGAAGCTGAAATAGCACAAACTAAAAGAGGCAGAACCAGAACAAGAGGTATGAATTACAGGGCAAGCTTAGGTATTTTGAAGCGTTTTAGGCATAGATGTATAAAGGCTAGATAAGTCGACCCAGCTGTTGGCCAATGGAGACAGGCGTCCTCACACGGCGGCCATTTTGGGTCAGAGAGCTGACCCACTCATCATGAATGTGTGTGGTGTGTTTACTGTTTAAATAACCATAACTTGGTCAGTTATGATCAGATTTTCAAACAGATTTTTTTGTTGTAAAGTTGAGACATGTTATAAAATGACACTTATAATGGACATTCATATAATAATTACGTTATTTTGATAGGTTAAGTAATATCAATATGTACACAAAATACATTTAGGTAACTTTTATAGGTATTTACAAATAAAAATATAAAGCAAAATTATACACAAGTCTATAAAAAAATAGTACAAAATAGTACTAAGACAGATCTTTTAAAGCTGTGGCGCCTCGCCTCTGGAATGAGCTACCTTGCACCATTCGATCTCTGGATTGTATAGATCCTTTTAGGAAACAACTTAAGACCCACTTTTTTAAACTTGCTTTTTAGCGTAATACTGTGTTTTATTGTTTTGTTTGTTGCTTTTAATTT